CTGGAAGCAAGATACAGGTCATTAGGCAAGGAATATGCATCGACGGATAGGTACTTTTTCCCGTAAACGTCGTGTGAAAATGATCGAAGTACCAAGTCAGTCTGAATTCGCTCACGCGACGTGGGCTTACGCAACGAAAAGTTGACCAAAAAATAGAAAACATAGATTGCCATTATAATGATCACCGACACTGTTACCATCGGCATGATCATTATCCTTACCATTAAATGCCATTAATGTTTTCGGCCACTGCAACCGACTGACCCCAACGCCGTATAATGCACGTAATTTCAAAAGCAAATAATTATGAACAACCAACTATCTTTAACAACCTGATGAAGGAAGTTTCCCGCTCAGAGATCACGAGGAAATTCTACATAACCCCCACAGGCTCTGGCCATTCCACGTACCTTCCTTTCGTTCCAGTGCACACTTCTAATAAAAATGACACGGGGATTTTGCTATCCTATCTATAACGGATATAGCAATGACGTCAATTTTCTTCCACCTTCCGGCAGGGGGAGGGGAGGGGAGGGGGGAGGTGCTAGTGAAAAGCGTATTAGAAATCAATGTATTCAGGGCGATAACACGCAGAGAGAGAAGATAACGAAACACTGGAAGAGAAGTGAAGAGAAAAATAAAAATGGGGAGAGGATAGGAAAGGAGAGGAGAGAAAGAAAAAAGAGGAAAGAAATGGAGAGAGGGAGGTGGAGTGTTGGAGGAGGAAAGAAAGTACGAGAGAGAGAGAGAGAGGGAGGTGGAGATGTTGGAGGAGGAAAGAAAGTACGAGAGAGAGAGAGAGAGAGAGAGAGAGAGAGAGAGAGAGAGAGAGAGAGAGAGAGAGAGAGAGAGAGAGAGAGAGAGAGAGAGAGAAAGACCGGGGAAGGGGAAAAGAGAACCATTAGCTTTGCTTTGTCTCAGGCGAGCGGACAGATCCCAGCCATTATTCTTCTGGGCTGATATTCCTATCTCTCTCGGCCAACCTCATACTTACCGACCTCCACACCCTGGCTCTCTTCCATATCTTTGAAAATTCTTTATGTCTGACGTCACTCTCAGGTGCTCTACACAGCCACCGCGAGAATTTATCACTTATGATCACACCGTTCGATTTCGTTACGGTAGACATCGTGCCAATAAAGGATGAACAACACTTGCTTGTTCAAGCCGTTCGAAGTGTGATCGAGCGAGTGTGTGTCTGTGCGCGTTTGAGCACGTGTGACCTTTATCTAAATGGGAAGCGTAATAAATCTCTATCACCTTGTAAAATACCGACCATACTTTCAAGTACTAAGGTAGGAAAGAGAAGGTGATGAAGATGAAGAGAAGAAAGAACTATGAGGAAAAGCGAAAGTGAGGAGAAGAAGGAGGAGGAGGAGGAAGTGGAGAAGGAAGAGATGGGGAAAAGGAGGAGGAGGAGGAGGAAGTGGAGAAGAGATGGGAAAAAGGAGGAGGAGGAAGTGGAGAAGGATAATTAGAAGGAGAGGGAAATGGAGATTCAGATGAAGAAGAAAAGGAAGAAGAAGAAGAAGAAGAAAAATAAGAAGGATGAGGAGGAGGCGGAAGAAGAAGGAGCAGTGAATAAGCAAAGAAAAGGGAATAGATGAAGGAATGGTAGAAGAGAGAAGAAAAGACAGATGGCATTAACGAAAATTACCTAAAACCCCCACCTCCCTTTTTCCACTTCCACCTAACATCTAACTACCGCACCGCGAAAACTTCAGCCCGCGCAACAGCACCACAATCAAGCAATCACAGCCAGGCGACGAAAGGTAATCAAAGATCCCATCTGATATTCCTCAGCGCCAGAACACATTAGCGCTGTACAGGGACGCGGCAACGATCACAGGGAGCGGCCGGCGAGTACCCGCCCGCCCGCCTGCCCCGGCTGCCACCTGCACCGCCGGCCGGGATGCGCCGCCGCCCGTGGCTCTCGCTCCTGATTGCGGAAGTGGGATGGCCGCGATGGACACGATTAGGAACATATTAATGTGCGAAGGAATCTGTGATGCTGGTAGAGGGATTTCATGATAAAGGTGGGGATGTGTATGCATGCACACACAAATATAATATATTTACATATTTATTATATATATTATATGTATGTATATATACATATATATATATATATATATATATATATATATATATATATATATATATGTGTGTGTGTGTGTGTGTGTGTGTGTGTGTGTGTGTGTGTGTGTGTGTGTGTGTGTGTGTGTGTGTGTGTGTGTGTGTGTGTGTAACACATAAATGAATGCAAGTACACAAACAAACATACATATGCATATGCGTGCATGTGACCATATTTTCTATAAACAAGAACGAAACTATAATGAAAATTAAGCAAAATGGAGAGGGGATGGTGATTCTACAGAGATAAAAAGAAACACAGGAACGAGTGACGCATCCACTGTACGTGACGGCGTTGTGAAAGTCGCCATGATGCGGTTAAGATCTTATAAAGCGCTTTTTTTTTATAACCGGCGAATAACTG